TTATGTGAGAAGAACACGAAAAAAAAGGGCACATAGCAAAATGAGTAAAAGAAAAAAGGCATTTATAACTGTATTTATTAATCAAGTAAAATCAGGTGTAGGGATATATGCAAAGAGAAATTAATTGACTTTTCTACTCACATGTGCATCTGAAGATCCAGATGAATGAACATCTGATGATCTGGACTGCAAGTATTAAAAATAAAAGTCAGTATTTAAAGGATCAGAAAACATCTTATTACATCAACAACACAGTGTTTCTCAGGTTATACAGACTCAATCTTTCCTAACTTTTAGCAATTTGTTCTCAGCTAATGTTGGGAAAACATATGAAAATGGTCACAGCCCCTCAGACGTTCAGACTCTTGCCAAGTATTCAATATAAATATGCACATGCGCCCAGGTGTTCCTTCATTATTGTCTAATGTAATTGCGCATGTGCACCGAGGTATCCTGGGTTATGGACTTAAGTATAAAGGATGAGTGGCTCTGATCCACAGGGCTCCCCTACCCCTGGGATGCCCCTAGGGGTCCAAGGGGAGACCGCTTCTACTGCTGGAGGCTGTTGCTGCAAGCTGTTGCTGCCAGTGCCCCCAGGACCCTCCAAGAGGCCACCACTGGACCTGTAAGCTGCTGCCACCACCACTGAGGACTGAGCTCCTGTCATCTGCCAACAGCTCCCAGGACCTTTCCCAATTACCTAGCCTGTGGACCTGCGTGTGAGGGGTCTGTTGACCCAGTCTGTACAATGGATTTGAAGGGTCTGAGCCCTAGCCCTGATAATACAAATGGAAACTTAGAATGACTAAAATAATGAAATATTTTGGCTTTAGTTATGATTTGCCTTACTTGACAACTGGCGTAGTCATGTAGCTTTACAGCTAATAAAACTGAACAAGAGCAATCTCTGACTTATGAAAAAGCTGTGATCCAAAGTAAATGTACAAGTCATTTCTTTAAGATTCAGAATGCATATTTCCAAAAATATGACAAAAATGCTAGTGGGATATATGTGAACCATAATTACCTACCTTTTTATAGTATAGACCAGAAAACTAACCACTACTTTTACAACAGAACTTTCGTGTAAAATCTCTTCCCAAGTCATAAAATACACTGTTTACTGCTACCACAAAGCCAGAGCAGCAACTTCTTGGTGTACAGCAAAGAAACCTCCCCTCCTTTCTCCCATCACCCAAAGCCACGTAAAGAAGCAGACTCTTTTTTTTTTTTTTCTCGTTTTTGTCTTTTTTCGTGTCCGGCAACAGATCGCAACCCTCAGTGTCGCGCCCGTACCGG